TCATTTGAAACTGGGGATGTCTGCGTTTTCCTTCAGAAATAATACATTTGTCTTCACTTTGAGGTAAGTGTGAGGACCATTGATGCTTCTTTGAGTAGATGCAGCCATGTATTCCACAAAGGTGTGTGTGCCCTGATTGTACCGGAGCCAGAGAATTTGCCTAGCAGTACTCATAGGGGGCAGCACTTGCACCTTGTGACCATAGCCCCTGTGCTGGCTAAATGAGGTGGCGCCACTCTGACCCCCCTCAGTTCCTTCTTACTGCCCATGGCAGGAGTTGGAGCTCTGTGTGATTTCTAACCTCACAATCTCTCCAGTTGTTAGTGACTTTTCTAGTTGTATATGGTTAATTAGTATCCTTAGTATACTGTTAGTTAGATTTACTGTTAATTAGCATTTGTTTGCTTATTCTCTAACATTGTCCATTGTGTTGAGGGGTGGGATCCACAACGATCCCCTACAACAGTGCTTACTGTGCATAAGCCAAGCCCACATCAAGGAACAATGTTCAATTTGCAAATTGCTCCCCAAATTGTTCACCAAATGGACACAGGCTGTTCATCTAAAGAAGCACCTGCTTGAATAGGCCACGCAGGTGAGCTGCTTTGGCACCAAGGCCTTTGGAGGTCGCCCCTCAGGTTCTGAGAACCCTGTCGCTTCAGGTCTTGGAGCTGGTGCCTCACCTAAGAGACAGGAGTCGTTCCCTATTGAGTGTGCTGAGGAAGAGGTCACACAAGACTGATTGTGGCTGCTTTAGGTAGTGTGAGGGCCCATCTGCCTCCTCCAGGTATGAATGCCACCATGCGGGATGGAGCACAGCTGCTCCCCAGTACTGCACAGGGAGGTCAGAGATCCTGTGCCGTCAACTCCGGTTCTGGCCCCGGGGCATCCGTTGAGTCCAGCACCAGCTATTTCCGTGCCGGCGACATACCAGATGGCAACAGACCTGCTCTGCCTTTCTGACCTGATCTCTCCCTTGGTCCAGGACTTTGCCAGGACTGCATTGTTTATAGCCCCTTTGGCTGGGCAGACCACTGATCCTGTGGTTCTATTGGCACTGAACCCCAGTGTTTCCCTTCCACAATCAGTGGAAGTGGTGCCTGTGCTGGGCTCAGCACAAGTCATCTCCTTGGCACTGAGAACTTCCAGGACTGCTGATGTTACCATGACCATATTCACCACTCTCCACTTTGGCACCATTGGTCACCGTGGTACTGCTGCTGGCTTCGGGGTTGACACCGCTTCTGGCACCAGAAATAACGGAGGCATACTCAGTGCTGGCAGTATAATTTCCACTGTTAAGTGCCGGTTTGGGCCATGAATGAGTCAGAGCAGTTGCTCACACCTTTAGAGCTGGCTCCACCTTTGTTCCTGGAAGCCTGGGACTCCTTGGTGTCCAGGCCGGGTTCTTCCTCCCATTCTCCATTACCTGACCTTGGGGGTGTATATGCTGGCAGTGCAGAGGCACAACTTTGGTGGTCAACAGCAGCAGCAGAAGTATTGTTCACAGTGCACATCTGGGTAGCCTTTCCCTCCCCAATAAAGGAGGAAGCATTCGGGACCATAGTTTGGCCAGTCAATATGCTTTCCCTGCTGTCCCCCAAGTGCCCATTTTGACTCCTTGGTCCAGAGCAGTGTTCCAGTTGTCACTCCCTTCTCCCCGTCTCCTCCATTTGGGGACAGGCTGGCTCATTTTTACAATGCTTGGGGCTTGACCACCACTGACAGTTGGGTTTTAAGCACCATCAGATCAGGCTATGCCATCCAGTTCCTGTCCATGCCCCTCCCCCTTCCACCCTGTTCCTTTTCAGGGACTCCTCTCATGAGATACTGTTCCTCGAGCAGGTCCAGTCTTTACTGGCTTTGGGAGTGTTGGAGAAGATTCCGCTGGAATACCGGGGCCAGGGCTTCTATTTTCCCAGTACCTTCTGGTGCCCAAATCCAAGGTAAGTGTAAGACCCATTCTCGACCTTTGTGGTTTCAACAAATATATCAGATAAATATGGTTTCAAATAGTCACTCTATTGACTATCCTCCTCGCATTGTCTCAGAATGACTGGTTTGCTGCTCTGGACCTTCAGGACATCTACTTTCATGTGACAATTTTGCCATGCCACAGAAAATTCCTTTGGTTTGTTATAGCGGAGTGCCACTTTCAGTATATGGTGCTTCCTTTTGGCCTCTGAGCTGCCCCTTAGGTTTTTACCAAATGCATGGTTATGGTGCCTGCGTACTTCAGGAAGAAAGTAATCTACTTCTTTCCATATGTGGATGGCTGGTTACTGAGGGGCAGGTCCAGAGAGAAAGTCCTTTCCAACAATGACATTACACTGCACTTGCTCAGTGGTTCACAAACTTACCAACAATACCACTGTAATGTATTATGTTAACAAGCAAAGGGGAGCACACTCCTGGGTATTCTGCCAAGAGGCAATCAGGTTGCAGCAGTTCTGCATTGATCCAGAATCATCTCGTAGACCATCTCAGCAGGAATTTTTCCCTGAACGAGTGGTTTCTGAAGACAAGTGTCTTTCAAGTCATCTTTGCAGCATGGGGCATTCCGATGATCAATCTGTTTGCCATGAGGGACAACAGGAAATGTCATCTGTTCTGCTCCGGAAGAGGCCTCAGTCCCACACTTTTCATCTCAACCGATAGTTGGCTGTCCTGTACGCTTTTTCTCCAATCCCAGTCATACCACAGGTCATCTTCAAGTTGGAGGTGGTTTGGGCCAAGCTCATTCTAATTGCCCTCGTATGGCCAAGGCAGTGCTGGTTCTCCGACCTTCTTGCGCTATCAATTCAGCACCTCAAACCTGTTCTTCTCCATACTCATACAGAATCAATTGCACCTTGCATCCCAGTCTCAGCTCCCTGCATCTCACGGTGTGGCTGCTTCATGCCTAAATGAGGAAGAGCAGTGTTTTGATGGCTGTTTAACAGGTTCACAGTAGAAAGCCCTCTACCAGAATGGCCTATTCAGCAAACTGGAAGCAGTTTTCGGTGTGGTCATTGGCCATGGAATTCAACTGAACCTGGCTTCTATCCAGGACATCTTGGAATATTTGCTGCACCTTCAGTTGCTGGGACTTGCGCTTAGCTCATTGAGAGTGCATCTGGCAGCAATATTAGCATTTTATCCCCCCATTCAGAGAAGATTAGTCTTCTCCATTGTCATGGTAGCAAGATTCTTAAAAGGGCTTCGTCTCCATCCTCCCATCCAAGAGCTGGTTCCTCTGTAGGAACTTAAGATGGTCCTAGCGGCTTTAATGGGTCCTCCGTTTGAGTCCCTCGCATCTTGTCCCTTTCCACTTTTGTGTCAGAAAACTTCACTCCTGGTAGCGATAACATCTGCAAGGAGAGTCTGTTAGTTGCCGGCTCTGATGGCAGAGCTTCCTTATACACAATTTTCTGAGGACAAAATGACTTTATGACCATACCCCACATTTTTGTCTGTAGTGATTTCTCATTTCATTTGCACCCGTGTTCTTTCCTAAGCTACATTTATCTCTGGAAGAGCAGCGTCTCTGTACATTAGATGTCAGGTGATGTCTAGCCTTCTATCTAGGCAGGACTAAACCATTTCATGCTTTGCCTCGCCTGTTTTTGTCATTTGGAGATCATATGAAGGGGTAAGCGGACTCTTCGCAGACTGTCTCTAAAGACATAACATTTGGTATCAAGATTGCATATGAAATAGCTTCAGCTATGCCTACTCAGCAGGTGCGAGCTCATTTTACAAGAACTGTCTCAATATTAGACATTTGCAGGGCTGCTACTTGGTTGTCCATACGTACATTTATGAACCGTTATGCTGTTATTGCATCTTCCACGGTGAATGTCAGTTTTGGTAAGGTGGTCCTGCAATCTTTGTTTAGGTAGACTCTGAGCCCCACCTTCTGGGTGTATATTGCTTGTTTGTCACATACATGGAATACATAGCTGCATCTACTTGAAAAAGAAGAAGAAACGGTTATGTATTGTAACTATGGTTCTTTGAGATTTGATGCAGACGTGTATTCCAAGACCCACTGTCTGTCCCCTCTGCATTGGGTGTCTCTCTGGGTGTTTGATGCGAAGGAGTTGAGGGGGGGTTGGGGCAGCACTGCCTCATAGCCCCAGGAGGGGCTATGGACACGAGGTGCAAGCGCCGCCACTCTGCGGATACTGCTAGGCAAATTCTCTGGCTCTGGTGTGCAGAGTGCACGCACACATAAGTGGAATACACATCTGTATCACATCTCAAAGAATCAGTTACAGTTAGTAACTGTTTCAGTTAATTACAGTACATTTTTGTTCATATTGGGCATTAAATTCTTTCATAGATGTTAAGGCCCTGATCCTGCAAAGAGACCCTAGAGATCCTTGGTTGTGAATCTGTTTGCAAGATCAGTGTAGAAAGACCTATTAGCAAAGTCAGTTTGCTCAACCCTTTCACTTCCCAGCCAATATAGAATTGTTTTATTCAGTATATTCTTGAGAGGTTTTTCAGTCTAGTGTTTAATATATTTCTAAAGATAGGACTGCTACTGTTTTCCTTGGGAGACTGTTCAATGTGTAAGGGGCCTCACTGTTTTCTGATATTCAGCCTTTTTGATGCTCACTTGGACCATCCTAAACAATTCCTCGCTCTCCGGCGTTTACACCCTTTCAGTGCATTGGGATACTAAACATATATTCTGTATCTCAAATGTTCTATAGTGTTGTATTGAAAATCATTTTAATGACTGTGTACATGTTTTGGCATCTGCAATGCAGAGAGGTTAAAACTAATTACAAGATTTCTATTTATTTTGCCAACAGTGACAGAATAATGTATTTTGCTATTGGTATTGTTCAACTTAATTATTACATTTTTACAGTTGTGATAATACATACTAGTCACTTAATACTTTATATTGTACATGCTTTTTATTAATCTAGGCTTTACCTATACATTAAAAAAATAAAAGGAAATCCATTGTTCCCACAGATTAATCTTCATAAAATACTTTTCTTTAGGTAATACATCATCACTGAAATATTTTTCCTTAATGAAGACATCAGGTGGGTTTGATCAAAACATGCATTACAGTGGAATATATTCCTATTTAAATTGAAACATTTGCACAAAATAAATTTCCCCCCTGCACAGTCCTTGAAATAGGGCTATGTGTTTTGGAGTAGAATGACAGAGCTGCAGTCAAGTTAAATTGTGTTTCTTCATTGTATTAGATGTCACAATTTATATTTTTAAAAATAAACTTTATACGACATCCTGGTGATCCTTCTTGGAAAAAAATTCCCTTAATAGAAATAAAGGTACTAGAGAGCCATTTGAGGACATCTAATTTCATTTTGTCTTTACCACCAGTACTGCCAAGATGGAACAGATATATTGAGTGTCCAAGATAGTCTCCACATTCCCCCATTCACATCAACTTTTCAGACTGTTAAAGGCATTGTGACTTCTTTCCCAAAACTGTGCCAAAAAAAGACTGGAGTGGGATTACCTTTAGCATTAACCCACAACCAGCCAATATATTTTTAAACACTACTGTCTTTGTCTAAGTACTAAGAGGTATTTAATAATGTTATTTAAACATATTTTAATGCAACTTACTTCCTCAATGTAGGCAAAGCCCACAGATACTGCTCCCAGTTTTCCTGTTTTAAGAAACTACTATTGTAAGTGTCTCTGCCCCATCCAGGGAAGCAGGAAACAGGGAGGGATGTTATGGAGAGGAGCCACACACACAGGGCCGGCTCCAGGCACCAGCTTCTCAAGCAGGTGCTTGGGGCGGCCGCTCCGGAGAGGAGCGGCACGTCCAGGTATTCGGCGGCAATTCGGCGGACGGTCCCTCACTCCGCCTGGGAGTGAAGGACCTCCCGCCGAATTGCCGCCGCAGATCGCGATCACGGCTTTTTGTTGTTGTTTTTTTTTGTTTGTTTTGGCTGCTTGGGGCGGCCAAAACCCTGGAGCCGGCCCTGCACACACAAGATCCTTTCTAGAAACATGGAGTCCAGGTTGAGTCAGATATAAGTAAGAAACCAATTCAATCAGATTTTGGAAGGAGCTGATAGAGTCACTTAGAAACAGGAGGTTATATTGTGGTGGGAAAGCATCATATTGGGAGGCCGCAAAGAAAATGAGAAAGTTGCATTAAATCTTAGGGTCAAATGCTGTTCCTCTTTGCAACATCTCAATAACATGGCTTTGCTCATTGCAACTGTATTTTTCTGGGAGAGACAGAATTGTATCTCATCCCTTTGCAGGATGCTTGGCATCTACACTTAATGAAAGTCTGGTAGGATTTTATAGAAAATTATATCCTGACTTTAGAATTCTATATGATCATTCAGAAACCCTGAAAAAATTATTATTCTTTATTAAATTCTATAAGTAACTTGTACAGTCACCTATTAAATTTGTGTAGAACGCTATAAGTTTATCCCTATTAAATTCTGTAGGATTCTTCCAGCTTATACACCTGGGTCATGCTACAGATTTATTGAGGCATAGTGGTGGCAGCCCTCAGTGTGGAGTTTTGGACCAGTGAATTCACACTGTGTTACTGTAGCACTGTTACTGTAGCACTTAAGAGGCCTAATCGTGGACTAGGATTGCATTGTGCATTCTGTACAATCACAGAACTAAAATATAGTCCCTGACCCAAAAAGTTTACATTCTAAATATAACACAGACCAACACATGGATAGGTATAGACAGATCAGAGGTGGGAGTCAGTTGACATCTTGGGAGTGAATGAGAGATGAGAGGTAAGGGAAGGATGGGGGTAGGCTGTGAAAGACTTGTTAAGGTGAAAGCAAGTAATCATGATTGGCGGGTGAACCGCTGCTTTGGGGAGACTCGCCTACCAGCCCTGCCCCTTCCATACAAGGTCCCATCTCCTGCATGCTGGAGCCCCAAAACCTCACTTCCCCCAACAGGAGAACCCCTGAGGGGTCCCCCCGACCCACCACCTATCTGCTCCCCCCGCAGTGCCAGGCTGAGCCACCAGCTCCCCAAGTGCCGAACTAGCCCCAGTGCCAGGCTGAGCCTCTGGCCCTCCCGCCCCGGATGACCCTCCTGAGCACTGGGCCAGTCCTAGCACCAGGCCGAGCCAGTGAAGGCCCTCCACTGGCCACCAGTGCTGGGCCGAGCGGCTGACCCCCTGAGCACCAGCGCCCCCCCGGCTGAGCCTCTGGCCCCAGCGCCTGGCCGAGCCTCCTCATTCCCCTGCCCACCTCTAGCTCTCCACGTCTCTCCTCACTCCCCCGTCCCCAAGGAGGAGGGATGCAGCGACCAGCGGGTACCTCTGGAGGTGGGGGTGGAGTGGAGGAGACATGGCAGGCACAGGCAGGCAACAGCAGCAGGCAGTGGGGACTTTGGGAAAGGGGCGGGGCCAGCATGGCCCAGGTGTCTGGCGGCAGGTTGGTGGCAGCACCAGGGATACCCGCCGCCCATGCAAGTAACTTATGTTTGTTACAATAGAGAAGGGGTAGCCAGTAGAGGGATGCAAAGAAAGGGGTGACATGGTGAAAATGATGGGCTAGGAAAATTACCTTTGCAGCAGCATTCTGAATGGATACGAGTGGGGCAAGATTGTGTTTGTCCAGGCTAGAGAAAAGGATGCTGTAGTAATTGAGACATGAAATATGAGAGCCTGGACGAGAGTGTTAGCTGTGGGAATGGATAGGAAAGGCTGTATCTTAGAGATGTTATGGAGAAAGAATCAGCAAGATTTAGACAGAGGAACTGTCATTGAGGACCTAGAACAATGGCAGCCTGTGGCTTGCACACAGCCTGTCAGGGTAATCCGCTGGTAGGCCATGAGACAGTTTGTTTACATTGACTGTCCACAGGCACGGCCACCCGCAGCTCCCAGTTGCCACAGTTCACTGTTCCCAGCCAATGGGAGCTGCGGGAAGCGGCAGCCAGCAGAATCATTGTGCTTAAGCTAAAGGTGTATAGAATTGTGTTTACTAAGTGTTTTATTAAAATACAAAATTCAATAAAGAATGTTAGCTTCCATTTAAAATAAATAATTTATATGAGAGTGCTCATGTGATATTATATGCATATTGTATCCAGATAACTGGAATCATTCATTGGTTATTTGCTTGCAGCACTATTTCAAGGAGAAATATTGAAACAGGGAAGAAGAAAAGAACTACAGGACATATACTGCCTTTCCAGTGTAAAACCGAGAGAAAGGGAACATAGCTTCCCAAGTATCAGAGGGGTAGCCGTGTTAGTCTGAATCTGTAAAAAGCAACAGAGGGTCCTGTGGCACCTTTGAGACTAACAGAAGTACTGGGAGCATAAGCTTTCGTGGGTAAGAACCTCACTTCTTCAGATGCAAGACATCTGAAGAAGCGAGGTTCTTACCCACGAAAGCTTATGCTCCCAGTACTTCTGTTAGTCTCAAAGGTGCCACAGGACCCTCTGTTGCTTTTTATAGCTTCCCAAGGTTGCATAGCTTTTGTAAAGCTGCCAGACATTGTGTTCTGTTCCCTTCTATTGTGTAGGAAGAAGGGGAACATATGATTATGCTTCTTTCAAAGGAAACCAAGGACAAATACACTAATTCATGCTGGACTTAGAATTTTAAAAACTGAAAAGAGGACAATAAAGATTTTGTAAAGTGGCAGTGTCAAAGTGATGTTGATAAACTATATTATTTAATGATATTTAAGTGCAGAGTTTATGTAAAGTAAATTAAAAGTTATATGTCTGATATAGTATTTTGGACTGTTCACATCCCTGAAAGAATCCAAGTGCCAAATTCATTCCCAAAACAGTACTTAAATTCAGTATTCAGAACAAATTTCTCACAAATTTCTTTTTAAGATAACATATTTACAACTACACCTCTACCTCGATATAACGCTGTCCTCGGGAGCCAAAAAAATCTTACCGCATTATAGGTGAAACCGCGTTATATTGAACTTGCTTTGATCCGCCGGAGTGCCCAGCCCTGCCCCCCCGGAGCACTGCTTTACCGCGTTATATCCAAATTCGTGTTATATCGGGTCATGTTATATCGAGGTAGCGGTGTACTTTAGAAGAGTTAAACTCTTACAGCTATCTGTTATGGGGGATATAATTTTCTTTCTTTTAAGTATACTTAATTATTTAACTATACACAATAATTCATATTTTCCTTACATATGATGCTTGTAGTTTTATAGGTTCTTGAATATGTGTCATGGTGGATCCCACGTAGATGTATATTTGCCTCATGCATCTGAGCTCATAAACCTGTGAATAGCAGAGTCCATCATTATGTGCCTCCTTGTGCTACGGTGTAATGGCTGTAATGGAAGGCATAACGGGTGGAGCAGTCTTGACCCTCCCCCAGTTCCCTCTTATCACCCATGACAGTGAGAAGGCACCAACTGTAATGCGGTGATGGTGTTATTTATTATTATTTGTGTTACTGAGCACCTAGGAGACCTAGTCATGGACCACAACCCCATTGTACTAGATGCTGTTCAAACAGAAGACAAAAAGAGGATGGATGTTTCTGGGCGGTACCTCCCAAGTGTGAGGGGCAGCATGTTGGGGGGAAGTTTAAGAGCTCCATTTTAGCCATGTTAGCTTGAGCTGATGGCTAGACATCCATTAGAAGATGTCAGAGAGACAAGCAAGATTTTAAATTGGAAAGAAAGAAACACAGGTCTGGAGCAGAAACGTAGATCTGTAAATTGTCTGGATGGAGATAGTAGTTGAATCTGTCCCCATCCCCCTTCTGTTTTTTGAGCTTGAAACTCAAATGTTTGTGACAAAATCTCTCTTCTTTTGAAATTTCTCATTGAAACTTTTTCAGAGGACATTTAAAAAAAAAGGAAGAAAAACAAAGGGGGACACCTTCACCCGCCCCCCTATATAATGGGATGAGGTGCTTCATGCAAACTGCTGGCGTTTGCAGACTTTAGTCCCACAGAGTTTAAACCATGTCCTTACTGTGATAGTCGTATGTCCTTAATTGACAGGCATAGAAGAGATCTTTTTTGCCTTGGTGAAGGGCATATTCCTGACACATGCTCCATCTACTGCTCCT